GGCTGCGTGGGGTTAAACCACGACACATGATGTTCCTCATCCTGCTCGAGTCTGCCTGTTGCTCCCGGCTCACAGAAAGCACCAATTTCATCGGAAAACTTTGTCCCCTCCTGGGCACAGGGACCCTTATGGAAAGGCTAGAGAGGCAACGGCAAAGCTGTTTGCCATACAGGCCATGGGATGGGTGGCCATACCTGCAGAGGTGCCAGCATAGGCTCACTCAAATCCATGTTCTCTGCTTATGCTTGGAACAATGAAAATATGTCCTTGTCCTTGACAGCTTCTAGGAGGCCGGAGCACTGAGCAGCAGAGCTTCTCTTGGCATATTTCTTCTCGACATACTTGGAAATGATGAAATTTTTCCTGAAGGTCCTGGCAGAAACCAGCTGAATGAGAGTTAGGGGCCACAGAGCAACCCAGTGAGCATCCTGGGACCACCCCCCTCCTCTCCCGCTGCCCCAGCCACCTTCCCTCTCTCTCCTTCAGACCTGCCAGGCAGTTTAGCACCTCTCCTCTCTCTGTCCCATTCCCCAAACTCCTCTACAGCAGCATTCATAACTTTTACGAAATACTGTGGTTTTCTTAAAGCTTCCTCTCCTGCAGTTACATAATTAAACAAGAACTTGACTTTCATGCATTTAAAGTGTGAGGACTGCCATGGCTGAGGGCGAGGACCCACCGGAGGAAGCCAGAACCAGCTCTCCGTCTTTCTTTCCAGCAGGGATCCCACCGCCTTCATCCAACACCCTACGGTCTTGTGCTGGGAAGAGCAGGGAAGGGTCGGTGCTTCTCCCCCTCTCCCAGGCACTCATTGCTTTCCAGAACCCCCTCTATTGCCTCTGCTCCAGGATGAGGAGCCCTGACCCCTCCACCTTTCCTGGGTGGGAGACGCTCAGGGATGCACTGGGGATTTATATACGGTCCTGGTGATCTTTTCTGTTCTCTTCTCCCTTCCTTTCCTCCCCAGCCCTGACCCGTCCTTTGCCTTTCAGACCCCTCTGTCCTCTCAGTTCAGTACTAGGCTCAGCTCCCTGACTCTGAGAATTAGGGGAAGGAGCAGAAACCTCAAGGACTGGGAAACACCATGTGGCATGAACTGGCCAAGAGTATCCACAGGTCAGAAACAGCTTCCAGACAAGGACTGGCCAAGTAAGCTGGGTCTCTCCCCCTGGACAGGTCAAGAGGTGTGCTGTTTTTTGCTGGGATAGGGTTAATTTTCTTCATAGTAGCTAGTATGGGGCTATGTTTTGGATTTGTGCTGAAAACAGTGTTGATAATACAGGGATCTTTTAGTTATTGCTGAGCAGTGCTTACACAGAGTCAAGGCCTTTTCTGCTTCTCACACCACCCCACCAGCGAGGAGGCTGGGGGTGCACAAGAAGCTGGGAGGGGACACAGCTGGGACAGCTGACCCCAACTGACCAAAGGGATATTCCATACCATATGATATCATGCTCAGCATATAAGGCTGGGGAGGAAGAAGAAGGAAGGGGGGGACGTTCGAAGTAATGGTGTTTGTCTTCCCAAGTAACCACTATGCGTGATGGAGCCCTGCTTTCCTGGAGATGGCTGAACACCTGCCTGCCGATGGGAAGTAGCGAATGAATTCCTTGGTTTGCTTTGCTTGCATGTGCGGCTTTTGCTTTACCTATTAAACTGTCTTTACCTCAACCCACGAGTTTTCTCACTTTTACCCTTCTGATTCTCTCCCCCATCCCACCAGGGAGGAGTGAGAGAGCAGCTGTGGGGGGCTTAGTTGTCAGCTGCAGTTAAACCACAAGTGGTGACCAGCCAGAGGATCTGAGGTGGCCGCAGGTGCCCCAGGGGCGAAGGAGTGATCCAAACAGAAAAGGCCATTGAGGAAGAGCTGAGTTATTCATGTCATGGTTTCAGTTTCCCCAGCATCCAAACAGAAGGGTGGATCTGGCAACCTTGACCATGCTGTTCCAGTTGTATTTTCGTGCTCTCCCAGCTCTCTGCTACTCTCTCCCTGCCAAGTACAGTTCCTTATCCACCTGTTCACTGCAGGGTAGATCCACACTGTCTAAACAGTGCCCTAGTCAGGACTTACACACCTGTAATCAAACCTGGTTGTGCCTGGTCTGCCTGCTCTCCAGTGTCCCGAAAGTACCCTTGGCCCCTGACAATAAGCTCCCCAGCTATATTCCCCCAAGAGCCCTGCTGCACCCCAGGTTTACGGCACTAAGCACTGGAGAAGCCCCCAGCTATTGCTGGTACCAGCCACACCACCCCAGCTCTCCCCTGTCCTTTGCAGAGCCTAGAAGCTCAGGCACTCCGGGATGAAGGATGAGGGTTCCCACATGCTCAGCAGATCTTCGCTTGATGCCTACACTGATCCCACCGACCCTGGGCCCCAGCCACTGGACACAGTGAACTGCTCTGCACCGTGCAAGTCCCTGTCCCCCATCCCTTATGATGTGCAGCCAGGGCCGTCCTGCTTGGCAGCTCCACTTACTTCTTTTCCTGCCTTTCCCTTTCCAGCACCAATTCTTCAACCCTTATCCTGACCTCAAGGCCAATCCCTGAGCTGTCCTGCTGGCTCTTCCTCACTCTTCTTCTTTCCTTTATCAAACCTTTCCTGCTGGACTTGATGAAATTGCTTCTAAAGAGAAGTTATGGTCTGGGAAGGAGATCGGGCAGTGCCATGTGCCTGATCACTGCAGGGAGCACACAGGACCACAGAGCATCTTACCTCCCGCAAAAAACAGCTCTTGCAGAGCAAGTCATGTCACTGTGCGCTGTGGGCTTCAGGGACAGGCTGGGGAGATTTGCTTCCATGATGTCGTTGAAACCAGAGTTGCTGATATTCCTTGCCAGCTGCAAAACAGCCAAGCTAGAGGTGACATGGGACATGCAGCAGCTCTACATGCATGGCAGCAGAAGAGGGAGCTCCTAGCTGAGATTCTGACCAGGTATTGAGGGGATGTCAGGGGGTGCCAGGATGTGTGTGCCCAATGGCTGGAGACTCTGCCCTGACTCCTACTGCTGAGATCTCCCAACTCCAGCAGTGCAACCAACCCCAGAGCCAACCCCTGGGCTCAGATCTAGGCAAGCAATGATCCCTGCCAAACAGTCCCATCCCCTGCCTTGATGCCCACCAGCTGCCAGCAGCTCCCATCGCAGCCCTACCAAACCCATGAGTACCTGGAGCATTGTGGTCCTAAAACAGCCCCATGCAAGGTCTCCAACCCCCTACCTGCCCCATACTCTGCTCTACCCCAGTTCAAGCTTGGCCCTGCCCCACAGCTCCCCTGCACCAGGGGACACAGATGGGGAAAGGGGACTGAGGGAGAGGGGTCCTCCAGCAACAGCAAAATGACTCCCTCTTTCCTCCTTGAAAATGACAATTCCTGGCACAATAACCACTAAACCGTGGGAATTACAGGTGGGTATGTGTCAGTTTAACAGGTGAAAAACCCACTGAATTAACTTAGTTTCAGGAAGGCCGCAGCAGAAGCAGGGGGAGGCTTGGGGACAGAGCACACTGGCAGTGTCTTACTAGCAATTCAGAGGTTGCCAGCTTGTCCAGAGACAGCGACTGGATGCGGGAAAGATTCACACCCATCTCTCTATGAATTCCAGAGCACTCAATGCAGATCAGGATGCCCAGGTTAATGGAGAGCCAAATGGGATCTGTAGAGACAAGACTACTGGGCTCATGCACATTTCCTGCCTCTCCTCCCCGCCAGCCCACCACCACCCCAGAGCACGAGCTCCACAGCAGGACAGAGGGGAAGGGCAAGACCCCAGATGCCTGTGAGTCTCTAGGAGATGGATGCCACAGAGGGCAGGGCAGAGCTCTGTCTGTCCAGGAGGGAGGAAGCACAGCAGCCTCACGGCCATGGGCTGGCTCTCACCTGGGGCTGAGCAGTCGCAGCACTCACTGTTCCCGGGCATGCCTCTGACCTCCTTGATGATGGCCCAGGTCAGCTCCTCCCAACTGCTCTCCCCTCCGCCCTGTGCCTTGCTGAAGGCCATGTTCAGCGCCTCCTCCTTGCTGTTGCTGAGGACGGACACCCAGCTGCACAGGCAGAAAGCAGCTTAGGAGCAGGGTCTCATGTGGCCGCGCTTATGCTGCAGGGTGAGGAGGGCAGCGGGGCTCATCCTACTTCTGCGGGGGAGATCCTGCTCTGCCCCAGCCTGCACAGCAGCCACCACACACAAAGGTCCTGCACGGGACTCCAGCAGCAAACTGGGTGCCAGGAGCCTCAAGCTCCATGTCCTGCTCGTGGCTGGCCACCCCCCCTGGAGTGACTGGGACAGAGTCAGGATGGGAAGGGCATTGAATAATGGGCTGCGGGGTGCTGCTCAATTAGCCAAAGACCTGGCTTCTCATCAGCAGCGAGAGGAGCATTTTTTGGTCTGCAGCGATGCGCTGGCAGTACTTACACGACATGGTCCTGCTCGTCCTCTGCCAGGAAGCAGTACGTGCGGTTGTCTGAAACACACAGAGCCGGTCTCCTCTAGGCACCCCACTCATCCACCTCGCGTGCCAGGCTCACGGCAGGGCACAACATGCCTGAGCTGGGCTCAGCAGAGCCAGGAGCAATCTCCAGCCCGGTGTTGCTGGGGTGACAGTCACGTCCATCTCACTCAGCCCCTCCCCACTGCACCCCAGACAAAGGCACCTGCTCCTCTACCAGGAACGAGGGATGCTGGTGTTAGCTAAGCTACAGCCAGGGAACTACACTTGCGTGGTCCCCACACACCCTGCACTGCCCCACGGCAGTGCTGTCTATCTCACACTCTGCATGTGCATCACTGCTTCTGAGCAGAGCTGCCTCCTGGCACAATTTCCCCAGGGTAATCCCCCCAAGCTGGCCCAAAGCTGCAGAGCTTCCCCTCATCCCTGCCTGTGCTGGCTCTCTGAGTCCAAGGCACTGCCACGTCTCCGGGCCCTTCCTGAAGGAAGTGCAGGGCAGGCACCAGCACTCATGGGAAACCTGATCGAAGCATTTCTAGTCATCCATGTTCGGCTTCACCTGGCAGGTCAATAAATTCAGCTTGACTGGTGGGTGGTTGAACTACAAGCAGAATGAGGAAGCATCAAAGGGCTGTGGTCCAATGGTGACCAGCACTGCCTGGCTCTGGAGGCAGAGCCACAGATCTGCCTTGTGCCCAGCACTTTGCCTTTGGCTCTGCTGTCAGGAGCAATGCAAGAAATAGCAACATGGACCTTTTCTTTCCCAATAGCCACCCCATGCTTGGAGCCAGGTCCCCAGGCTCATGCCCCTCCATGCACATAGTCACGTCAGGACCTCCCGTGTTTGTCTAAAGCTCTCTTGGGTTGCAGGGACTTAAGCCTCAACAGAAAGCCTCCTATGCCAGGGCAGCCCAGCAGGGCAAGCAGCAGGCACAAGGGCTCTGACGAGCCCCAGAAAGCCACCAGCATGCCTGGCAGTGGCAGGCTCTGTGGACCCTGCAGGGGCAGGCAGCAGCTCCCAGGCAGGAACAGAGCAGAGTGGAATGGAAGAAGCGGTTTTTACTATGCTGTGAGAGATGGTCAGGTAGCTGTTGCTGATGGTGCATTTCCTCTTCTGCCAGACTTTTCTCAACCGGGAAATGAGTGGAGGGTGAGCCGAGACGACACACACATGGAGGAGCAGATGTGCAATGCAGCGCAGCGCTGGCAAACGCAAGAGCCTTGCAAGGCACAGCACAGGGCCACAGCTCCCATCAGTCATGCCAGATGGGCTGCCGCAGGCAGGGTCTGTCGCTCTTGGTCTGTCCTGGGCTGAGAAGGACCCATCATATGGCATAAGACAGGCAGCACAGCTGCTGTGGAGGTGATACAGGTGCAGACCATCAATTGGGGCAGCAGGACCTGCTAGCAGAGCACGAAGCCCTTTGCAGAAGCCCTCAGCAAACATCCAAGACCATCACCTCCAAACCACTCTCAGGCTGGTTTTCCTGTGCCTGCCATTTGGGGCAGACCATAACACAGGGGAAAGGTGGAAGAGAGACACCTGAAAGGGGAGAGAGACTGAACTTCAGTCTGCAGTGAAGGAGACTCCTCAGCCCCAGTTCATTATTTTCTGTCCAGGTTCAGGTTTTTCTAGGATGCTTCACAGTCCTCTCCAGGTGTGCAAGTCTCCCAGCGCAGGACCCCTGTGACTCCCAGCAAACATCCTCCTACGGACTGGTGGGAGATGATCCTCTTTGCAAAGACATTGGAGTGCTTTCCAGGAGCTCAGGATCTGGCTCGTGGGAGAAGGGCACAGGACGGCTGCTGGCCCTCTCTCCCTTCTGGCCCATGATGCCATCTCCAAGGCAGCACTGACCCACACTGTGTCTAATTCACCCCACATTTCTGTTCCTTCCCCTAATTCTCAGAGTCAGGGAGCTGAGCCTAGTACTGAACTGAGAGGACAGAGGGGTCTGAAAGGCAAAGGACGGGTCAGGGCTGGGGAGGAAAGGAAGGGAGAAGAGAACAGAAAAGATCACCAGGACCGTATATAAATCCCCAGTGCATCCCTGAGCGTCTCCCACCCAGGAAAGGTGGAGGGGTCAGGGCTCCTCATCCTGGAGCAGAGGCAATAGAGGGGGTTCTGGAAAGCAATGAGTGCCTGGGAGAGGGGGAGAAGCACCGACCCTTCCCTGCTCTTCCCAGCACAAGACCGTAGGGTGTTGGATGAAGGCGGTGGGATCCCTGCTGGAAGACAGACAGGGAGCTGGTTCTGGTTTCCCATGGTGGGTGCAGGGGTTCTCGCCCCCAGTGCTTGCAGGGCTTGAGAGGACATTGGGCAGCTTCATGGGAGAGGAATGTCCTCAGAGCTAAAAGACGGACACAAGCTGCCTGGAGCTTTGTGTTGAAAGTTGTTGGAGGCTGGGACAGTGTTTAGCACACCTTCATGCATGCTTGTCTGGTTCCTCTGCCTTGTGGCCACCCCAGGGAGAGGAGATTGGTCTGAGTGAGCCTTGCTCTGGCCCCAGGTCACCAAAGCACATTTAAAAGGGGCATGCTGGATCCCAGCTTACCCGTTGCTTTTCTTGAAGAGGGTCCCCGACTTCTCCGTGCCATACTGTTTGTTCCCTTGCAGCTGGTGCATGTTGTACCCTGCCTGCTTGTTCCTAGGGTCCTGGCAGAAGGAGAGAAATACCAGCAAGGCCCTACCCCCATCATTACCGCTGGCAACCAAGAGTAAGACCCTCTGCTCCCCCAGAGCTCACCAGAAACCCCACAGCTTTCTGCATCGGCTGGCAGGCACTATATAAGCAGCTGCCATGCCATGCCCTCTATAGGCACCAACCCACGTTCCCTAACAGGAAGGATCAGACTTCACCTCTTTCTGCAATGCTGTTTTCAGCTGATCCTGAAGGGAGCAGAGCTGCTTCTTCTCCTTGTCCTGCCTGATCTTCATCTGAAAGGCACCGGGGCACAGTAAGCCACTCACATGGCTCCTGTCTCGGCTGCAGCATCCTACTCCTTCTCCGCTGCTCATCCCCTGCAGTGCCATGGTATGTGGCATGTGCAAGAAGCACTTCAGTGAAAACCTCCTTGAGGGGAAGGTGCAGGCACGTCCCCTGTGCCGGGACTCCTGCAACGCGAGACCACAGGAAAGCAGTCTGCATTTTACTGAGAAAACAGCTACTTGCAGCTCTCCGCAGTCTAAAAACAACCAACAGCTTGAAGGTCATCATGGTGGTTGGTTTTTTTTCCCTTGGTAGTGTCGGTAATTAAAATAATTAAAAGGTCTCCAAGCCATCAAAAAGTTGATGGACCTTGGCACAGGAATGTGGCCCTGAAACGGAGCCTGCGGGTTTGTCTGCATGAGGGATCCATAACATGTTGCTTGCTGTGTTCGGTTACCCTGCTCTGGGGTGGCACCTCCCCTCTTTTTGTTATTTACATAATGAATTTTAATGGGAATGATTACAAATTGTGGAACAAGCAGGGTAACACCCCTAAAACATATGATTAATTCAAAAAAAGCAGCAGATGTCCAGAGGAGACCTGCACTACAGGACCAGGGGAGATGAGCACAAGTGATGCTGACACAGTATCTTGACTTGCAAGGAGGTATGGAGAACGATGAGCAAGACCAAGCAAACCGAAATGGAGGTCTAGAAATGCTGAGAAACCAACATAAACCCTTTGCTGCACTTGGAGGACGTCGTACCACCTGGGACGTGAGTGCTCAGACTGTCTCTGAAAGCCTTGCCACTTGGAAAAATGCCTTTCTGTCTCCAGGATGTGTATGACTGACAGAGCCAAAGTCAAAAGCTAAAGTTCACAAGGCTTACATGACCTCCTCTACAGCAAAACAAAGCCCCTGAGGAAATGCATTGAGAGTTTGAGTTGGCAGCAACAGGCATGGAAAGCTAAGATCACAAATGAGAAATCTGGAAGTCTGCAGAGCAGCTAGGGCTTTGGCAGATTAATAGTTAGTGCCTCCTTGGTGTCCATGCTTATGCTTGTTCTTCCTACTCTGTGTCCTGTGGTCTGGCACCGTAATTTTTCCGTTCCCAGTGACGGCTGCATTTCACCCCTCCATGGGCCACTGCGCATCAGAGGATCAGGAAATAATGATTAATAAATCTGAAGAGCACCAAAAGTCCTCAGTTCTGCTTCTGCAGAGGAAGAGGAGGCCCTGGGTGTCCTGGTTTCAGCTGGGATAGAGTTAAATTTCTTCCTAGTGCTGTGTTTTGGATTTAGTATGAGAAGAATGTTGATAACACACGTTTTCAGTTGTTGCTAAGTAGCCTGTCAAGGGCAGCTACCAAGCAGAGGCTGGGAGGGAGCACAGCCAGGACAGCTGGTCAATGGGGAATTCCGTACCATGTGACGTCATGCTCAGTATATGAATGGTAGGCGTGATCCAGGAAGTACCGATCGCTACTTGGTTATCGGTCAGCGCAGGTGGTGAGCAATTGCATTGTGCATCACTCATTTTGTATATTCTATCATTATTATTATTATTTTCCCTTTTCTGTTCTATTAAACTGTCTTTATCTCAACCCACGAGTTTTTCTCTCTCTTATCCTGCCAATTCTCTCCCCATCCCATTGCGGGGCGGGGGGTAGGGGGGGAGTGAGCGAGCGGCTGCGTGGTATTTGGCTGCCTGCCAGGCTAAACCACGACACTGGGGAAGACAGTTCCTCCAGCCTGCTCCTGCTCGCCACACCCAACTTCAGATGAATACTTGCACTCTGCAGCTCCGGGATGACCTTCTCTGTAAACTTCTTAAGTTTTGCTGTTGTGTTTAGACATTCCTGGAAAAAACTGAGAGGAGAGGCTAACGTAAGGGCATGTCCTGAAATCCTGCTCTTAGCACTGGCTGTGAATCCTACAGACCCCAGGCTCCCCTGAGGTCCTGCCTCAATACCTACCAAGCCTTCAGCAGGCAGTGCTTTTGCTTCATAGTTGAAAAAAATCTTTCTTAGGAAATGTATTTTAGAAAGATTTGGAGGCAGTTAAATTCAGGAGAATGCTCAGCAATCTGTCTTCTTTGCATCCCTGATTTCTGCTTTACACTGGCTTATGAAAATGTCAGAATAAAGAGAAGAAACACACCCTGTTGAGATCCTTGCCTCCACCGCCTCCAAGAGAAGAGGACTTTCAGCAAGTTACAGGACAGGCCAAGCTGACTGCAGGAGCCCAGGTCCCGCAAGTTAAGCCACCCCCAGGTCCTCTCTACAACCAGCACTTCTGGAGAGAAGGGGCATGCAGGCAGGTTACCGGTCGCTCTTACTTGAACTGTGAGCTGCAGTGCTTGATGTGGTTTTGCAGTAAGTCAATCCCTTTCTTGGTTTTAATCTCATTCACTTTGATTAGATACTGAAGGGAAAAGGACACAGGGATGAATTTGTAGCTTAGAGAGAAATGCCTTTTACGCACTTTTTGATGCCCCCCTCGCCCAGTGTGTTGTGGCCCATCCTGGCAGTCACGCCCTGATGGGAGCAGCTCATGTGGCTTTTGTGGGGTGAGAAGATGGTGGTAAGCAGGGCCCAGTGCTTTGATCGGGCCAATAGAGTGGTGGACCCACTGTGGTGGCATGGACTCTGGGCTTGCTGGGCATTACTTATGCAGGGCAAACACTCAGTTAACACACCCTCAAAGATTCACCATTCATGGTGCCTTCACTGAAGAACAGCCAGCCTTGCTATAGACCTTCAAACATCATCACTCCAGAGCGAAGTTCCTCCAACACCCACTAGACTTGATCCATGAACTGCACCACCTCTACCTGACCCTACCGACGTCAGTGCTGCGAGCCTGCCTGCCTATATCCTACACGCAGCTGGCATCTCAGCCTGCCTTGAGGACCTTCAGAAGTAAGCTGAAGGTTCAGATTTCCAGCCCAAACTTACCTACCACCTCACCCAGCCCATCTTTCACCATAACAACCTCACCCGTGAAAACCAACACTGTCCCTTTCAGTCGGTGGACTGCCAACGTGAAACAGTGTGTTGTGCTGTGAAACACCTTGAGTATTTCTCCATTCGTCTCTGGACTACTCCTGTACGAGCATCAGCTCTCTTGACATTGCAACTACTGTAAAAACAGCAACCTACTAACAGCCATTTCCGGAAGACCCACAGGCCAACAGAGCAAATCACTTTCCAAAATACATGTTCAACATGGCCAACCTCAGACTTCCCTGTATTTATTCTGAGGGGATAATTCAAAACACCCTCAATCCTTCAGAAGAAGTGTTTCCTAGAAGACACCCCCTCAGAAACCCAAATGCCACGTGTGGACTCATATCAGCACAGAACGAAACCTCCACCTGACCTACTGGCTCTGTTTAAGGACAATGCAGCTCCGAAGTACAAGGACTTCTGATATTTGAAGTAGAACAGTTTCAGTACGGAAACAATAACTATTTCCAAAACACAGTTACAAAGAGCTGGATATTTTGAATTAAATCTTTATCTGCCAATATTTTACTCATGCTGTTGCTTGTGACGTGTGGCAGTGGGAACAGGAGATCCCGTTTGCAGGGGAGTTGGGCTGAGTTTATCCCAACAAGCAGAGGAAAGACTATGGTGGGACTGTCTGAGAGGGAGTAGGGACCTCAGTGCCAGCAGTGCCCACCATGGGCAGTCAGGAAGAAGCTTGGATCCAAAGCCTTCGTGGGATTTTTCCCAAGTTGTTATCTCTACTGCCAGGTTAATATAGGCTTAAGCTTTGGCTAAACTCCTTGAATAGCCCCTGGCCTAGGTTGGCTTGAGCCTACCACAACCCAGACAGCTCTCCAACTGAGGGAATATGCCCAGGGTCTTGCCAGCACAACAGACATGACCTGCTGAGCAATGGTCCCTGGGGACTGCAGCCCACCTCAGTGCTGCTCCCCAGGGGCCAAGCAGAGGGAGCTGCTGGATGCTGCCGGTGCCCAGGGCAGAGCCTCGGGGACTTCAGCATCCCAGGAAGGCAGAAAGGGACATGCAATACCCTGGACACAAGCATCACTCACTGACCAGGGACAGAAGATGGCCCTGAATGAAAAACCAGTGTGGATTCAGACAAAAATGTTGCTTTGAAACAATCCCAGGTCGGACGGCAAGTGAGAAACACCAGCATGAGAGTCACTGCTGATGTCTGCCCACTCCAGAATGGGCTCCGCAGAGGCTGTGGCACAGTTGCTGTGCACCAATGGAAGGGAAATTCATCCCTTGGATGCTGATTCAGCAACTCTAACACTGCTCTGCGTGGCACAGGCTGGTACCTTACCTCACACATGTTCAACTGGAAGGTCCTGCGCTCCTTCTCCATCTCCTCGGCAATCTTTCCCCTACTCACCTCACTCCGCACCATGCCATGCTGCTTTGCCAGTCCGCGCTTCTCCTTCTCGATCTTGGCGCTCAAGGAAAGAGGAGACATGCGTGAAAGACTCCGACTGACTGCTTGCTGGTGAAGGCAGACAAAAGCCAGCCTCCAAGTCCAGGGGTGAGGGAGCCTGAAGACTTACAGTTTGCTCTCATAGTCTTTGCAGGCCTTCTCAAAGGACTTCTTGAACTCCTAGGAAGAGCCAAAGGCACCATTTAATGACTACGATTGGGACAGAGCCTTCCTCATCCTCAGCATACTGCGTTCCCGCTGGGTCACCCTAGCATAAAGGCCCTCGCAGACCCAGGACATGGCTGTCCACAGGAGTGTCCCTTCCCAGGAAGGTCCTCGCCTCTCCTCAGTGCACAGCAGACAAGTGCGCTCACCAGTGCAGGTTCACTCACAGGCACATGCTTGCACACACGTGCAAATACACATAGGCTCCAAAACATACATCATGTATATGTACATCACAAAGGTATGTATATAGCAGTACCCAGCTATAACACCTTTCACAGACTCACAATTTTAAGGGCAGAAGGAATTGCTCAGACATGCACAAGCCAGAAAGTACCAGCCAGGTTCTCACCTGCTGAAGCCAGAATGTTGTGTTTAACTAAAACACCGCTCAGAGAGACATCAGAAACCCACCCAAACCTGGCAGCATCAGCACAATCTGATTCTTCCCTGGGTATTCATTTAATGGTGAATTAGTTTTGCTGCTATAAAGCCATCATTTGCTTCTCATTTGACTTTGCATGAATTTAGCATCTCTCCAGTGGTTACCATCTTGATATGTTCATCTGCATTTGTCCATTAAATGCATTTACTCAAATCACCCACGTTCTGCCCTGTTCTCAACACTTGCTGCTCTGCAAACCTCTGTGTCAAAGAAAGTGTCGTGGTTTAACCCCAGCCAGCAAATAAACCCCACGCAGCCGCTCATTCACCCCCTCCTGTGGGATGGGGGAGAGAATCGGGAGGGCACAAGTAGGAAAACTCCAAGGTTGAGATAAAAACAGTTTAATAATTGAAATAAAACAAAATAGAACAGTAATAGTAACAATGAGAACAACAACAATAACAGAATATACAAAGCAGGCGATACACAATGCAACTGCTCACCGACCACCGACCACGTGTCACGAATGGGGGGGCGAGCCCCCCCACACACCTGGTTTTTATAAGGAGCATGATGTCACACGGTACAGAATACCCCATTGGCCAGCTGGGTCCACCACCCGGCTGTGCTCCCCCCGCCCCCTGCGAGCATCACCCAGCAACAGCCAAAGCATCACTGGGCCATCAACGCTCCTTTCATACCAAACCCAAAACACAGCACACCCCCCAAGCTACTGGGGAGAAAGTTAACTCTGTCCCAGCCGGAACCAGGACAGAAAGACAGAGTAAATCAGGTTGGAGGAGACTTCAGGAGGTCTCTAGTCTAACCTCCCACTCAAGGAAGGGACAGCACTGAATTCAGACCAGGCTTTGTGCAGGCAGATGTTGAAAAACCCCAAGGATGGAAATCCCACAGCCTCTCTGGGTCCCTGTCCCAATGCCTCTCTGTCCCCCAGGGTGAAATTTCTTTATTTATGTCAAGGCAGAACATTGTCGGGACAGCTCTTGCATTTATCTCCATTCTAATGAAAATGTCAAATTGATTCAGGTCAGCCTCTGATTCCTGTTGGATCTCTTCAGCTTAATCATGACTCCTTGTGGGCAGCTGGTTTTTTTCCTCTCTCTCTGCCTGTTTGCTTGGTTCCCAATCTTACTGACATCATCCTTAACAATGCAAATAGTGGGTTCTTTTAGCTGTATTTTATATTCTTTTATCAATTTGCTTCACACTAGAAGTTCCAGAATTTGCTCTCTCCTTCCACTTTCATGCTCCTGTATGGCACAAGCTTCTAATTGATGTAGTAGATACAGTTTGTTACAGTACCTATTATTCTATATTGCTTGCTTCTGTAATTTTAAACAATGAAGATTTGTTGCTTAGAAGTTAGGTAACTAACAGGTGTTGTGTTTGTAAGTGTGTGGAATTGTAACTAGTATAAAGTGTGTATCCTAGAAGCATTGTTAGATTATAGTGAAGGTTAACCTTGGAAACGAGAACCATAAACAAACGTGCTCCAGACGTGGCTCAGAGACAAACCTCGACCTTATGAGGAAAGAAAGGAACTGGTTCATGAAGAGTTCACTACCCTGCCGACCACCAGAGACCACCCGAGACCCTCAAGGAGACCCTAAAGGCTTTAGTGCGCATGTGTCTAGGATAATGTAATATTATAATTAGTTCCTGGAAATTTAATGCATATGTAAAAGAGAACCTTAAAATATGTATGAGAAGCATGGATATAAACAGAAAGGTGATTAGACCCGGTGTGCTTGATTTGTGGCAAGGCCACCGAGCACCCAGGCCTGAATAAAACAATCTCTCTCCTGAGCGTGTGGAATTGGTTAACTGCACGCCGGGCACGAATCCGCTTTTCGGACAACACAAATGGATGCCTAAATGCTAATAATTTGTTTCAGTATTTGGCAATTAGTCCTTTGGAAGTCCCCAAACCCTGCCACACTTCCCATCCCTCTTTCTGTAATCCTGTCCAAAACTTTCCCTCCACTTTCTGAGAGGTTCAGCTGTTTGCTCAAGGATCCCTAGCCCAGCTCGATCCAGCCCAGCTGCAAAACCTTTATCAAGCATCTGAGAAAACTGCAGAGCTGGGAGAAAAAGCTGGGAGAAAATCTATAGAGTGGAACCATACAAGATTAAAAAGGTAAAATTACAGAATTCGGGTTGTTGAAACAGGTTCGTTACTAGCTTAAGGATTCAAGAGGAAAAATAATATCATGGAAAACCACAAAATCCTAAAAGAAGAAAACACAGGGGGTTTGTCAGAGTATCAGCAGGTCTGGTGGAAGACAGCAATGACCAATAGCAAGAATCTGTTGCAGGGAGCAGCAGCGCTGTCCCTGCTTCTCCTGAGCTGGTCTGCCTGGCCAGCACGAGTCCTCAGGTGTCTCATTATGCTGCTGAGCATATTAACTCCAAGCTCATTAAATCCTAACAATCTATCATCTTGTGTGTGCATCAGCTGATAAATAATTGCTTTACTGTTTCAAGTCGTACATACCATGCTCGCAGGGTCTCTGTGCCCAAAACCACCCAGAGAGGAACGGTGCCAGCTCACAACTGGCAGCTGCTCCACCACGTTAGATGCAGGCTATGATCAGCAATCCCTTGACAGTGACCTTGCTCCAGCATCGCGATCAGGATCAGTCCAGCCTCCTCACCCCTAACACCCACAGGCACAGGCACCCCTATGCAGGCAGAGGCACCCAGGGACAATCGTGCAGAGCTGATGGCCTGAGTACAGCCACAGGGACTTAGTGGTAGGAACGTGTGTGCGGACTTACCAAAGATTATGATGACCTTCCCATTAGTTAAAAAAAGCAAAAATTAATATGAGTTTGATGCTTTTCCTAACATCTACACTGGTGAGCACTGTGAAGCTCTCTGACTTCTCTACAGTGCTGAAGATCAAATTGCATGGTCACTTCAGTACTTGCTACTCTGCAGTCCGTAAGAAGTACCTGTAGCTGGTAGATACACTCATGCACACTCAGATTCACACCCACACACGTGTGCTCACACACGTAAACGCAAGAGCCACAGGTGGGCATGTGGGGTGGGGGGGGACCTCACTGGGAGGTTGTGGGGGAGTTTGTGCACTGATGGCCAGGGAAGATATCAATATATGGTGCACAACACCCTGATTTTTCCCCGCATAGTGAATGCCACCAGACCCCTCTGGATTCAGCCAGGTGCCTGCAAACAGGCAGAGGTCCCAGCTAAGGGGCACCACTAGCTTGACCTGTGGTGTGAGGTGCCAGCCTCGGGAGGGAGCAGGATCTGGCACACAGGAGGTGCAGGCAGACCTGCCCTTCCAACACGTGTCCCTGCTGGAGGGCAAGACGTGAGCCAGGGATCACACCCCACAGCTGGTACCTGCTCTGTCTCCAGTCACTTGCTTACGAGCCCCCATCTCGGCGCAGCTCTTTCAGCCCCTGCTTACCCCTTTGAGCTCTTTCATGTCACCCTTTATTAATGACTCGAGGGAAAAGTTAATGTTGTGGTACAAACTATGCCACTGGAAAAGAAAGAGAGAGATCATGGGGCTAGCACCGCACCCTTGCACCCCTCCTCATGCAGAGAAAGCAGAGCTGTTTGTGAGCCTGCAGAATTTCTTGTTGGGAGCAGGATTATTATCAATACCAGATCAGGTTGGCTGTGCTTTTGTTAGTGGGGCTTTGAAACCCTCCAAGGATGGAGGTCACCTCTCTAGTGACCTCTTGCAGGGCTGCACCACCCTCTGCAGAAGAAACTTTTCCTAACGCCCAACCTGAACTTCCTGAGCCACAAAATGGGTGTTGCTGCATGTTATGTCATCTCATGCTGCCCAAAAGAGCATGACACCATTGCCTATAACTGTCCTTAGATGAGTTGTGGGCTGCTGTCAGACACCCCCTCTTCACCCAGCTAAATCAGCCCAGATCTGCTTCTCTGTTACCATTCACTGACCCTCTCTAGTTTCTCCACATCGCTCCTGACCGGGCACAGTGTTTCAGGTGTGACCATTCACCAGACTGATGTGAGCCCCAACAGCTCCCACATCAGGCTAGCCCTGCACGGAGTGACAGAGCTTCGCTCCAAGTATTGTGCTGACAGTGCCAGAGCTCAAAGACAGGGCAGAGGCTTTTAAGATCCATAAACACTGATTTGTGGGAGCAAACAGTTTTACAGCAATTTGGGAACACAAAGGTGGACTTGCATGCTACAGCTAAGGCTATTTAACAGCTAGGTGGGTGGGTACCAAGAGGAGTGGTACCACCACTGGCTTTGTCCTCTGTTGTGCACTGCATCAGCCAAGCCACGCAGCTGAACCCATGTAGAGGAGGACGTGAATTAGGCTCTGTGTGGGTCAGCACAGTCAAGACTGTCACCATAAACATTTAGGTACCCAAGGAGCAATAGTGCCGGAAACTTACCTGCCTGCATGTTTCCAGAGTTCAGTGCAGCCGGGATGTTGAGAACTTGACTTATGGACTTATACCCCAAAATAGGAGTTTTCTCTGGTCCCCAGGGAAGAGCTGCCACCCACGACTCTTAGCACCTGCACCTTCTTGTCCAGCCCAGTTTGGGACTGAGGTTTTCCAGCCAAGCCCTCAAATAGAGATTCCTAGGGCAATTAACATAAGACCTCTAGGACCAGCAGGACTATGCTCACACCAAGCATTGCAAATCCAGGGAACCTAGTATTATGGTTCAAAGAGATCCCCATGAGCCAAGGTCAGAAAGGCAGTGGTGGGATAGGGCACCTGAAGCGTCTGACCATTGTCCTTTGGCAGAGCTGTTGGAGACAGTCATATCCCCATGTTCAGAAAATGATTTTATGCTAATCCAGGACTTTAAGGACTAACACATCCCCCTCACAATCGCATGGTTATTGCAGTGCTGCCACGAGGCAGGCACAGTCCCCTCCTGGGCCACAGCTCCCTGCAGTTGTCAGAGCCATTTCATGTGGGATTCATCTCACTAACCTTAAGCATCCCTTCACCCTTTTTCAGGTGAAGCCTTTTTGGCTTATGTGAAGCCCATCTCCCTTCCAAAGGCTCCATCAGGGCAGCTTTCCCAGTTCCATATGTCTCTCATCTCCTCAACCCTACAACAGATTTTTAGCCACACAGTCGGGCTCGACCCTTTCCCTTGCCCCTCCTGCCCTTGTACATGGCACTGGGAGGGAGCAATGTGGAGCCTGCTGCCACTGAAACCCTGATCTCCAACCTCCTAGTGGCCTCCAGAGCCTTCCTCCCCCTCAATCCCCTCTGCTGCTGGGACCCACCTTGACCAGGATGGCTGGCTCCTTCCCGAGATGTCCCTGAAGCCTGCCCAGGTCCCTTATGATGCCAGTCATGTTTATACTTCATCTTTTACCAGAAATTCAGCTCTCCACACACAGATGCTCAAACCTTCCACATCTGTGGCCTTCCTCTTCCTTTCTCCTGACAATCCCCTCCCTGAAGGTGTAACCTCGGTCCACAAACGACCCATCCCCACCTTTGGGACCATTCACTGCCTGCTGGGCCAATGCTCTCAGGCCAGGAGGCTTTGTGAGAGTTTTCCGAGGCGTCCCAGAGGCCATCACCAACAGGCACCTCCACCTCCCTAGGCTCCCCCATCCAGTGAGCCAAGCTGTAAGAGGCAGCACTCCCTCCAAGGATCGCGAAGTGTGTGTGAGTACAGTCTTTGGCCACAAGGCAGGAAATAACATATCTGGCACTTGGTGCAGGAAACCCCAGGCTCCCTTCCCTGCCTGTACTTTTACCTGCGATCATTTGCCTTGCAGGCATGGATCTGGTTCTGCAGTCGGCCGAGCTGTGTGACTTCTCCTTTGAGGACCTGCCTCCAGCGGTGGAAAACCGGCTGATGTGCTCCCCCTGCAGCTCAGCACTCCTTCCCTCTGCTGTCCACACTGCTGCTAGGCTCAGCACACCCCATGTCAGGGCTCTCTTTGCTCAAGGACAGGCTTTTGCTGTGTTTACTTCTTTATCCCACACTGGTGCTGCTGTCTGTTACAAGCATGCACCTGCTGACAGCCGTTTGCATGTACTAAGACTCTTTGCTGTACAAAGTTCCCCACACCGTCAATAAAAGCTGCTGGCTGAACCATTGCAGAAGTCACTGGCACTGGTATTTCTGCCTTTCAGAGGTGAGACTAAGGAACAGAAGGACCCTGTGGCTCCAGCTCTTCCGGATCTGTTTTTATCCCTGTCTGTGATTTTCAGGGTGCTGGGGTCATAGCAAACTTCTCCCTTCTCACTGGTTTTCAAGAGTGCAGAAAAACTCATATTGAGAATGACCAGCAGTTCATATTTTCTGATCATCTGCATAGACATGGCATTAACACTCACAGGACAACCCTGCATGAGCCTATACCCTGTGTGGGACTCAGCGGTCTCCAGAAAGACATCCAAGCTGAGTTTAAAGAGGATGGAGACCAAGCATTCACTTCACCTTTTGGCCACGCACACCAGTAGTTCATTAAGTCACAGCTAAAATATTGCAACTGATTTCTTTTTTCATTTCAGTTTCAGCTTCAGCTCCCAGCCGCTGGCTCTCACTTGCCCTTCTCCAGCACCGGAGTCTTCCTCCCAGTGAAAGCGCATAGAGGTGGCAGCTGAGCTACTGCACAGGTCAGAAGGAATTAAGTCCCAGGCAAAAGCCCAGCCAGCCTCACCCGGCTGCATGGTGAGGGCGTGTTGGGCTCAGGGAGGAAGCAAGACAGAGGCCAGTCCTGATGCAGGCAGAGAGGACCTTCCTCAAGGGCAGGCAGCTCCTGCTGACACGCAAGCAAGAGCAACTGGGGATACCCCATGATGTTGGAATTTCTCCTTGCCATCTGCTCAGTCCATCCCTGATCTGCACCCAAAGATGAAATCATCTCCCCGTGTCTCCTGGCTTACACAAATGCTGCTGCCCAGCAAGGGCGGCTCACACCACTGCTCCCTGCTTGCACTGCGGCAAATCCCCTGCAGACTGCACTGGGGGTTGCTGCTGCGCAACAGCAGGACCATGTCCTGAGTTTTATGTCCACTCTGACGCACGAGTCCCAAGCCAGGAGCTCTGCAGACATGAACAAATTCAGCAGTGTTTCTCTCTAACCACAGCTTCCTGATGTAGCAACTCTGTTTTAAAGGACTGAAGTTTTAGCTTTGCTTGGGGTGCAAGTGATAGAATAACAGTTGAAAATTAAGCAACACAAGGAAATTGCCCCATGCCCAGAGGCTCCTGAGCAAGTCCTGGCCTCCCGAGGCCTGAAGACTGAGAAGAAAAAAACCTCAGTGACCACCACTGACAAAATGATCTACAGGAGCACAGTTCCCCATCTGCTCCAAGCCTGCAGACGCTGGGGGACTTCAGGGCAGTGCAGCAGTCACAGCCCACAGACAGGCCCTGATAAAGTCCCGGGCACCATACCCTCATCTGCTGAAACTACAAAGTAATGAGAGGTGACATGGCGATAGCGCAGTTTGGTTGCTCCCAGCACATTTGCCAGACCTACCAGGAGGAAGCACCAAGAGGCTCGGAGCCCTCTGGACCACAATATGGAGAGCCCCACCACAGTGGCAACACCTCATAGATATTTTCCACAGGGGGTCAGGACCTTGATTTGCCCAGGAACAGGCCAGTATGATGGTTACACTATACTGGCCGTAGTTTTCAGCTAAGTCCCAAGGCAAGTCTATGTGGGCAGTGGGATGCTCTCAATGGGAAGCCTGGACCTTCCACTGAGCCAATCTTGCCGTCGTTCATGGTCTTCCCAGGGCATCAAGCTCTGCTGATCGCTCCCTCATGGGCCAGCAGCATACAGCAACCCCTTCCCCTCCTACACCATGCCTGATGATGCCTACCGGGGTCTTCTGGCTTTTGCCGTCGGTCAGAAAACAAAGGCATTTGGCCCAAATAAGTTTTGCATTGGATGCTGTGCTCAGCAGCCAGCTCTCACCCCCGGCTCTGTGAATTTTTGGAACCACTCCTGCATTAGGCTTCTGAACGTACCACATCACCATATCCCACAGCTTAATTCTGGACAAGTGAGGAAACCATTCTTCTGTCCCCAAGAACTTCCTTTAATTTTTAGTTTTGCTTTTAGTTTGATACTTGTCTGGTTGAATGGTTCTGCACTCTCTTTACCGCGCGGTGTGAGCCCGGTACTAAGTACAAACCTCTCCCCCTTTGCTCTTGTCCTCACTGACTGACGCCTGTCACCCGGCCTCCACGACTCATCACAAGCCTTCACCAAATCTTTGCTTTGAGTGTTTTACAAACACCCAGAGATGCTCACACCACTCTCCGCTCGCGGTGACAAATTATATGGTGATGCCTGAACCAGGGTGCAAATTCCGTGGGACCATGATGGGGACGGCCCCCCCAACCCCTCGGGGTGCACCCCTGTGGCCCCCCAACCCTGCTCACCTCCTCCAGGCTGTTGGCAGTGGCCTTGCAGCGGCCCATGTGGCTGGGGAAAGGAGCACCTGCCGCATGAAGTCATACACTGAAATAAGGGCCACCATGGTGCCACGGTGAGGTGGCACCAGGAAGGGGAACCGCCGGCAGGAGCCGCGGTCACGCTGGGGCTGGGGTCATGCTGTTGCCAGCAGCGAGGGCAGGAGGGAGCCCCTCGCCTTGCACACCCACACTCCGAACAGACACACACACCCCCAGGTGTGCACACACTGACACACACCTGCACACCCGGGCACAGAGCAGCATGGCTACAAATCCTGCAATTACAAGCTGAAATAGTTTGAGGAAGCCTGAGGCAGCACACTTTGAGTCACAGGGAGCCCTAGCCTGGTGGTGTGGTGGAAAATGTAGCTGAGCATGGCTGCAAGGGCCAAGGACCTGCCTGGGGATGTGCACTGGGCATGCTGGGGTGCACTGAGCTTGCTGGCATGGACCGGTCACCGCTGAGGTGCACCAAGTGTGCTGGGATGCACTGGTCACCACTGGGGTGCACAGGGCACTAATGGGGTGCACCAAGTGTGCTGGGATGCACTGGTCACCACTGGGGTGCACAGGGCACTAATGGGGTGCACCGGGCACCGTTTGCAAAGGCAACGTCCCAGACGTCAGGCCCTGTAGAAAGCTGGGGGTGACGCAGCACTGGGAGCAGCAGTGTCGCACCCCAGGCCCCACTCTAGCCCCACGCAGGCGCTTACGTGACCTGAGCCCTTTGCAGCCTGTTTCGCTCCGCCTGCAGCCCAAGGGTCCCCTGGGGGGACAGAGGGCTCCCCTGTTGCCATTCTTGGGTCCCCACCCAGCAGCTGAACTCCAGCACCCCTGGGGGAGCACCACGTCTGCCCCACACTCGCACCTGGCTTCCAGTCCAGCCAGAGTCCTCACCTGCTCCTTACCTGCCTGCCTGGCTCTGCCCAGCTAGTTTTCTCCACAAAACTTACTCTATTCCTGCTCCATTCAAAAGCCAATCAGGCAGCCATCTTCACTATAAAACCCCGCTGTCAGTTAATTTCTTTGGAAATGCAACGGTCCCTCTGAGCATCATCTCCTGCACCAGGATGAGACCCCCTCAGAAGGAATCTGTCCTTTCAAAACTCAGGGTGAAGCACCTCCACTTGAGATTAGATCATGTCAGGGCTTGTCTGTGCAGAAGACAGGAGCCCCGGGGCACCAGAGACCATGCTGA